GCAATCCTACTTCCGTAGTGATACTGCCTCGGAAACCCAAGGAGGGGTCGCTATGAGTTGGGGCCGACTCGATGGCACATAACAACAACAACAACAGAGGGTTCTGGTGGCATATTGCCAAGGCATTTGACTGCTAACCAGAAGGCTGGCAGTTCAAACTCACCAGCCACTCCTGGAAAGGAAGATTGGGCAATCCACTTCCATAGTGATACTGCCTCAGAAACCCAAGGAGGGGTCGCTATGAGTCAGATCCGCTCGATGGCAGTGAGTTTGGTTTTTGTTTTGGACCCCTTTACATAGGCTTTTGTGAATTAAATTGCAAGTAATGTTACAACATTGCTTCCATGGGAATCTATATTCTGAAGTGACTTGAATGAACATTTAGAATGAAGCTCATATTAGAGACAAGGTATTTATAAATATACTCTTTAGGATAAGATATATCCTATTTAATTTAGCTGAATATAATTATCTGTCAAAGTTTTATCTTCTGAAAAAAATGAAAACAGAAACTTCATTGTGTATAAACCAAAACCAAACTCACTGCCATCGAGTCAGCTTGAACTCATAGCAAGCCCTATTGTGTTTCCAAGATTTTACAGAAGCAGACTGCTTCTTCTTTCTTCCACGGAGCAGCTGGTGCTTTTGAGCCCCTGAGCTTCTGGTTAGCAGCCAAGTGCCTGCCTTAGCAGCACCCGAGCCCCTTGACTTGTGTATGTATATGTGTTTATTTCTGGTAGCATGACTTGAAAAGTTTGGTAACCTCACCTTGATTAGTACGTAATTACCCATAAATAAAATGGATATAGTGATTCTTAATAATGCGGATGAAGTACCGTGGGTTCTTTTAAAATAAACGTATAAAAATCTTGGAAGCTTGGGAGCTGCACGTTCTCTGGTGGATAGAAGTGATTTCAGAATGGCCTTTCTAAGTTAAGGTAAAAGAGCATTCTGGACTTTATAGTACAGGCAATCCCCAGGTTATGTATCCTGCAGTTATAAACCAACACCTATAAAACCTATTATATTAAAAATTCAAGGTATGTACAATGGTTCATGATAACAAAGGGGCACTACTTTGAAACGTGCACCAAAGCATTGTATTATTGTTACTGTATGTATTATTATATTACATACAGTAATATAATAACATTTGGCTAACTTATATAAAATACAAACCTTCCCAAACTGTTTCAAGTTACATACAAATTCTACTCAAAGACAGATTTAGGAATGGAACTCGTTTATATCTGGGAACTGCCTGTAAAGTACTTTGGATTACTTTTAGAGCTACATGATAATGCATGTATTTCTTTTATTCTAGTAGCATTGAAGACAGATAATTAGATTTAATTATTATACCATGAAGAGTTAGTTATGTTTTGTTTT